TAGTTAAAAAAAAAAAAGAAATAAACCGTAATTGTTGGGGGCACCTGGGTGACTCAGTTGGTTAAGCATCCAGCTCTTGATTTCAGCTCAGGTTATGATCTCACAGTTCATGTATTTGAGTCTCACATCAGGCTCTGCGCTGAGAGCAGGGAACCTCCTTGGATTTCTCCCTCTCTCTCTCTCCCTCCCTCTTTCTCTGACCCTCCCCTGTTCATGCTGTCTCTCTCTCTCAAATAAATAAATAATAAATAAACATAATTTTTAAATTTAGAGCATAAACATAAAGAAACATAACGACACACAGGGGTGCCTGGGGGACTCAGTCGGTTAAGCATCCAGCTTAGGCTCAGGTCATAATCTCACAGTCCATGGGTTCGAGCCCTGCACTGGGCTCTGTGCTGACAGCTCAAAGACTGGAACCTGCTTCAGATTCTGTCTCTCCCTTTCTCTCTGCGCCTCCTCTGCTTGCTCTCTCTGTCTCTCTCTCTCAAAAATAAATAAACATTTAAAAAAAAAAAAGAAAGAGAACAACACACCATTTGCGCTGATGGACAGGTACAGCCCGCAACGCCCCGCGGCGAGCCTGCGCCTGTCTCCACAGCCCACACAGAATCAGGACACTGAAGACCCTGAAGCTGACAAGAAACAGGAACCGCACAGGCCGTGTTTCCTGAATGTGACGCGGGCACCTGTGGTGTGAGGGAGTTAAATCAACACAACCTAAACAGAAGGGAAAGGATCACCCTGGGATCAGTTTCTGCTGTCACGCAAACAGGACGTAACCGTGCGGTCGTTTCTGTCGTGCCTGGGAGCCCGTTCTCGCACCTCCCCTACGAAACACACTCCTTTGGCCCCGGGAGGTTTCCCTGGCGCAGCTGGGGATCCGCGGGCAACGCGGGTTGCACTTGACACACCCAACCTGGGCAGATTCACCACATTTCCTACAGAGAAAGGGCAACTAGCTGGATGTGAGGGAAGTGGACCCAGTGTGAACGCAGGTCATACCAGATGGCTGACACTGAAGGTCATTTCGATTCTTCGGGTTACAGGCTTGGGAAGATGGGACCACACGCGCACGCGCACACACACACACACACACACACACACACACACTACGTGAGGAAGTCTTGGGTTTTGTAAAATTTCAGCGTGGTTGGTTTGAAAAGCAGAGGACAGAATGAACCCATCTAGAGCCCATCACAAAGAACGACAAAACTGAAGCATCAGAGCCAATGAAACACGTGTGTGGTTTAGTCATGAAAGCAAACTTGAGCCTCTGGAATTAAACAACCCACATCTCACACCTGAGACAAGGAACCTGATCGTTCAACAGAGACGGCTGGTGGCCGTCCACAGACTGGACCCTTGCCGTGGCCTCTGCTGAGGGCGTTTTTAGAATGTCACCCTCCCTCCGGACTTGCCAGTTGGACCGAACAATTTTGAAACTATTTGCAGGCGTCAGGGAGGGTATTTAGCAATGCTGCCTAGTCTCCAGCCCAGCGTGGGATCCGCCTCCAAGTTGGCCCCAGATCAGGAAGTGATAGTTTTCCTGTGCAAAGAAGCCAGATTTAACCATTCCTGCTGCTAGACGCCAGGCAGGAAACAACACAAAAATACGAAGCCCAAAGGGCAGAGCATTTCTCACAAATGAGGATGGTCAGGCAGAGAACGTCAGGGGCTGAGAGCAGAGACAAAGCTGAGGCCATCCCAGAGTTCACGGGAAATTAGCTGCAAGTGGTTTTCACATACTGGAGTGAGCAGATCTCCTTGGCATTATAATTAATATAATAACTCATTTAGGGGCACCTGGGTGGCTCAGTGGGTTGAGCGTCTGACTTTGGCTCTGGTCGTGATCTTGCAGATCGTGAGTTCGAGCCTCACAATGGGGTCTGGGCTGATAGCTTGGAGCTTGGAGCCTGCTTCAGATTCTGTGTCTCTCTCTGACCCTCCCCTGCACTCTCTCTCTCAAAAATAAATAAACATAAATCTTTGCATATATATATAACTCATTTAAAATGTAACCCCTCAGCCACTTCAGAGGCTGGAAGTAAGGGTTAGCCCTTGGGGTGAAGACCTAGTCGCAGGGAGGGGCTCTGGTGGAGGGGAGCATAGGGCAGGAGTAGCGTGGGGCCCCGGAAGTGGCTCAGGATTAACTCAGGCAGGGACAAGAGTGGTCCAAAGACTTGCGGTCTTGGCCACAATGAGCACCAAACATTGTCACCCACACCTCTGTGAGGAGGGCCTAGAAATTAGTATCAGACACAACTCTCAGAGCCAGTGTTGATACAAGGTCAGTGTCATATGTATATAATCACATTCCATGGTGGAGATTGGATGGATGTCCACGTAAGCCCTTTGTTTTTAAAGACCCAAGTAAAAAATCAGCAACAAAACTGCCTAGTTATTCAGATCCTACATAATTTCCCAAAAAGAAGGAATACAGTAACACTTAGTCCTCGGAAACAGCGTTCTGTGCTGACCTACACCGATGAGACACGGAACACGCTTTCACCCGTCCCTTCCGAAGAGATAATCCAGCATTTTCCAAATCTGTTTTCAGGGTCACAGAACACTGCTGTCGTCACTACTGGTGGTGCTGGCGAGTGTTCTGACAACAGTTTGGGAAATCTTACGGTTTCCGAAGCCAGAGCACCCCAACCCCAAGCCGTTAAAGTCACGATCTAGGGGACAAGGGAAGGACACCAGACACGCAGCGCCTCCCGCATTGTCAGCTCTAACAGGGCGTGCTGTCATGGCTGCGGCACCACCAAGGGCGTTCTGGGCATCCTGAACCAGTGTGATGTCAGCCACCATTCTCGGCACTTGCCTCCCGCTGGCCTGTGGGTCCCTGACCAGTCAGTGGGTTGGTGCCCTCCCACGTGATACCGATGTTGTGATATCAACAAAGAGGTCAGCCTGCCCGGAGTCACTCAGTGAGGATCGTAGGCGGGCCCCAGGTCAGCATCGCTCTGATGTGACCTCCTACTCAACGGGGCCCCTGTTGGGTTAACTACACACACACACCTCCCACCAAGGTCGCTCCCATGAAGAGAACAGTGACACCTTATATGTACATTCTGGCATTAAGGCATTTTGCTTTGTTTCACAATTTTGATTAGACTCCTTAAAATAGAAGAAGGGGCACCTAAGGGGCTCAATCAGTTGAGCATTCAAGTCTTCATTTCGGCTCAGGTCTTGATCTCACAGTTCTGATAGTGCAGAAACTGTTTGGGATTCTTTCTCTTCCCCTCTCTCACTCATGCTCTCTCTCTCTCTCAAAATAAACATTAAAAAAAAATAGAAAATGAAAACCAAGGAGTGGAATCCAGTTCAAAAATACTCATTTTCTAGAACATTCTTTCTGCCTACTTTATATATAATACTTGTATAGAAACTATAACCACTGTGTAGTTAAACTAAATGACTCCATTTACTGATCCCAACATTTTAATTTAATCCCAAATTAAAAAACCCATGGCCTTCTGCATGGAGAGCATCCTTGGTGCTGATCACACCCACAGACGAGCAGCCGGTGAGTGGGTTTTCAAAGGCAGGCACCCAGCCAAGTGGCCGTGTCACGTCAGCCACATCTCAGGAAAATACCTGTGAAAACGTCTGATTTTCTGATCTAACCCCAGCCTTTGTGGGGTCCACCTTGGCACCTCCCATAGCCGAGAAGGCTTGCAGGGGGCCAGCCCTGGTGAGGAGACCTCGAGCTGCCCTCCTGCCCGCCGCAGCCCTGGGTCACACTCAGCCCGTCATCAGGAGGTGACCTGCTCACTGAGGTGGGCCATCCCAAGTGCACAGTCTTCTGGAAAACCACAAAACTCAGCCCAGGATCAGGGCTCTGTTTGTTTCAACCAAGGTGGGGAAACCCCAGAAGACAGAACACCTCCTCTCTCACATGGACAACGGTGGTGATCGCAGCAGACAAAGAGGACAGGGGAATCTGACCTACTGTGTGCTCTCTCAGAATGTACTCCAGAGGCAAGACTCACGTTCAGATCCTGGCGGGGGAGGATGCTGACGGGAACGGTGAGGAAGGTCTACAACAGAGTGTCATCTAATAGGAGATTTGCAAACTAGCTGCCCCACTTAGTGAGCAGGCTCTCACGGGGCACCCACATCATTAATGTGAAAACACAGGGACTCCGCATGATGAGAGATAAAAATTAAACTTGTATGAGATGAAGCAAATTCACAGAACCAGAAACCTCAGATTTTAACCAGAGCATCACATTCTAGATCCTAAGAAAGAGTTTGGCGGCTGTTGAGAGAAAGACACTGTAAAGCCAAGTGGCCTACACTCGTGGCACTTTCCTCGTGGTATTTAGCCTCCAGTGCAGAAAGCGATCATGCAAACCTGGCAACCAAGTCCAGACGGCGTTTCCTTAGACGTTCGGTGCATTTTCAGCCCCACGCCGCAGCAGCGGTTCCGAGCTATTTGACCAGGGTCAGGAACGAATGCATACTTGGTTTTTTATGAAGGAATCTAAGCCCTGAGTTATCTGGACGGTTGCTGCCATGGAGAATTTGTATCAAAGCCTCCAGCATCTGCTACACCTAATGTTTCCATGTAAAGTACCCACCATCGCACGCACTCAGTGGGCATTTAACCACACGGGTTTGTGGTGACGTCACTTACCCGTCTGCTTGCTGGGAAACTGTACGACTTCCAGACCGTCGGGATAGGTTGCGCGTGTTATCTGAGAGCCTGCATGACGGTACACCTGTCAGCACCAGAAATACCCGTGTCAGGATGCCGTCTGTGATGTATGTCATTTTGAACCTGGATTGGACCCAGTGAAGTACTTTCTGTGGGTGGGGACCTGCCCTGTCCATGGGAAAGGGCTGGGAGGTCACTGACTATGGGGTAGCCCTGACCTTCACCTGGGCAGGCTCTGAAACCCAAAGCCTGCCCGGCCTCACAGCCTTGGGGGGACCTGTAGCCCCAAGATTTCATGATGAGCATGGTGAGCTAGAGCCATGAGCCCTGCGACCATGAGCCACCCAGCTCTGACCGACATCTGCCAGCAGCTGGAGATGGCACGGACGAGCAGATGTCCACGGAGCTCCCCTCTGGAACTGGTCGCCTGATTGTGAAGTTTTAAGTCAAGTTCTTTCCTTTGGTTTCCAACCAAGTGGAGAGGGCCAGTGGGTAAGAGCAGTTGGGGAAGGCGACCGTGACGAAGGAGGGCAGGGTTGTTCCTCTTGGCGGAGCGGAGTGAGCCCGGGCCACACGGTGGGGAGGGAAAGGTACACACAGGAAGGGTACAGACATGAAACCTGTTCAATGTCTATGTGCATTTTCAAAGTGAGAACTTGGAAGGCAGAAACTTCACTCAGCTCCAGCTTTGGGGATCTGGGCCCGTCACCTACGAGGACAGCACCACCTGCCTGTCAACAAAGGAGGCAGAGACAATCTGCGGGATGTGTCTAATGGAGTGGAATTATTGCAAGCACCGCGCCACTGAGATCAGAGGGCTTCCTTCCTGTGAGCCGAATTTGTCCAAATGTGAGACGCCGTGGGGAGTGCATATTTCTCCATCATTAGAGCGGCCGTAAGTGCAAGCCTGGGCCCAGGGCCCAGTCTCCCCTCGAGACCAGAGACGGCGGTGGAGAAGAGCACGGCCCCACCGCTCAGCAGATGCCCTGCCGAGGCACGCCCCCGCCAGCCGCTGCGGCTGCCCGGGGACCAGGCCAAGGGCCAGCATGGAGGGCCTTTCCTTTTGTTACCCCCAAAATTCTTAAGATAGAGCTAAGTGCTCATGAATTTTTGGGTTTGGGTTACTTGGGGCCAAAGAAAGGACATATGACAGTGAGGCCAGGGCTCCTACACCAGAATTCTGCCATCGTCCTCGGAATGGCCAGCGGCCTCTGGCTGGGGTAAAATTATGGAGCAGTGAACAGATGTCTCTAATTAAAACCAGTAAACCAAAAACGAAAACCAGAGATGAGCTCTGTGGTCATTCAGAGCTCCAAGGGCCCTGAACCTCTGAATTTTTATCCCAACGCTTGGTAAAAACAAAACAAAAAACAATGAGGTTGATTATTCTAAGAAAGACTTTTTTAAAGACACGAGTCCAGTGTGTACAGAATACAACTTGATAATGGTTCGGTACTAAAGGATGGTTATCAACCTGCTACAGACCTGACCTTAGCTCCAGGCCTGATTTACAAGGATTCTCTGCAAAGTAACCAAGTTTTCAGAATCAAATTAAACCCTGAATTACCCGGATAACTGCCTCTCTGGCGGCCTTGCCTGTAAGTACCTTACCACCGCACAGACGTGCACCTTGCCCAGGGGCCGCCAGCCCATCAGGGCTCCCCAGTATCAAGGGGACCCCTGTCTGCCTTCAGCTCCCACTCACCTTCACCTTTGCCAGTTACAACTGTAGAGTCAACCACTGTCAGTCATGAGTGCTTCATAAGTACCAAACAGTATCCGTGTGCTATAAACCTAGTCCCTATAATAACCTATCACGGGTTTCTCAGCCTCAGCATAATTGCCAGTTTGGGCCCCGAAGTTCTCTGTTATGGGGGGGGCTGTCCTACACACCCTGGCCTCTACCCACTAGATGCCAATAGCACCCCCCCACCACAGCCATCTGAAGTGTCTCCGGATACTGCAAATGTTCTGGGGTGGGGGGTGCGGGGGCAAAATCACCCCAGCTGAGAGTCGCTAACCTATAAAATAGGCATTTTCTGGTTCATTAGATGCAGAAACTGAGGCTTGATGAGCGTAATTTGTCCCTGTTCATACACATGGTCGCTGGCAGCTGGCCAAGTCCCAGGTCGCTCTGGCCGATGCTCCCTGCTTCTCCAGCACCAGGGGTGGCCTCGGGGAGGCGGGTGCTCATCCCACTGGGCTGCACGGGGAATGAGAACAGCATCCCCTTCCGTCCAACCCTTAGCTCACTCTGGGACCGAGCTCCTGACTAACCTAGTCGCGATGCTAAGGCTCCTTCTGTAACTAGTGCACACTGACTGGGTGTTCACTGTTGTGTCCCTAGACAACACTGAGATGAGGCGTTGGATGGCGTGTTGTGTCCACTAGTCTCCACCCCTCCTTTTGAGTTCTGTCCCAGTGTTCGTCTCCCCTTACGGGGGCTCAGCGAGGCTTATGGTCTCCACCCGGTCGAGCGAGACTTCACAGCCTACAGGGTGCTGGTGCTGGCTCTCGCTGTAACATGGGGATCCAGGGCTCCGTCGATTAAGACCCTCACCGCCCAGGTGCATCTAGCAACCAAACGGCCCGACTGACTCAGGGCCCTTCCCCAGCCCTCATCCTGGAGCCCGTGGGGGAAGGAGGATGCAGATGTACAAAAACTTTCCTAATGATTGGACTGGTCCTGATTTAAAATAAAAAAGGCACGTTTGCGGGCAGTACACACCCCTCTGCCATCAGGTAGGCTCTTCTTCATGTCTCCATTTAAGAACCGCGGGATGGTGGCCTTCCTGCTGGGGCTCTTGTCCTTGCCAGCGATGGCTTCACGGCCTTTGCCAAGCTCCTGGGCCACCTTCAGGAAGCACAAAAGTTCCAACACGAAAAATTAACGAAAGTGTGAGTGTCAGGGTTTCATCACTGTCTCATTCAAAATCACGAGGCGTCTATTGCGGGCCCGGCCCTGTCAACACCACGTGCTGCGTCTCCACCAGCAATCGCTCAGCCCCCAAACCTCCCCCCATCCCCGGATCTCATTGTGAATAACCAATGTTATGATTCGCCCTCAGATGTCTGTTTTCCTTGAGCTCATGTCATGCAAATTCACCTACACTATCAAGTTATTACTTGTCAGCCCAGATATCCACGGTCGCTGCCTTTGGTGAATTTGGGAATCCTGGGCCATGTAAACTGCAGTCATTACTGTGTAGAAATCACTGTTTGGGGGAGCCTGGGTGGCTTAGTTGGTTAAGCGTCCGACTTTCGCTTGGGTCATGATCTCGCGGTTCGTGGGTTCGAGCCCCGCGTCGGGCTCTGTGCTGACTGCCAGCTCAGAGCCTGGAGCCTGTTTCGGTCTGTGACTCCCCCTCTCTCTCTGACTCTCCCCTGCTCACGCTGTCTCTCTCTCTCTCCTAGAAATAAATAAAAACATTAAAAAAATTAAAAAAAAAAAAGAAATCACTGTTTGTACATGTTTCTTTCTTTTCGGTCCCTTCATCTTGATCCATATGCCACTCCCCTTTGACCCAAAGGTTCACAATGTCAGTTAACAAATATGTGTAGCTTCAGAAGCATCATGCTGAACTACGAATTTTGAAAATATTATTCATGTAGTTATTAACAGAAGGGGGAAACTGACAGAAGGAATCTCAAGACCTGGGGAGTTAATATCCGTACACATGAAAAACACAAATGGTAAAATGTGCATCATTAGTTGCGTCGTGACCTTGCGGCTCTTGGCCACAGGAATACAGGAGTTAATTCCACTGAGGAAAGATACGGGGAACCAAAAGCGGGTGTGTGGCTTCTGAGAGCCACTTGGGAGACCTATGGAGCAAAGCTCAGTGGTGTCCACCACCGGCTGGCGATGTAGCCGCTGCCTGTTGGAAGTTTGAGCAAAGACCTGGCTCTTCCAGGCCACAAACCACCCAGATAAGTGAAGTGAGGTTGTGTTCAATTCAGTCTTACAAGATCAATCGCTTAATCAACAGCAAAAACTCTGATGAGGTTTGAAGAAACTATTACTTTTCAGAAATGAAAAACACAGGTCATGTTTTAAATGTTCCACATAAGAAAAATATGAAAATCAGCCGTAATTTTTGGTTTATGTTACAAAAAGAAAGAAACGAGCCAATAAGCAAGGAAGGGATTTCAGCGTTTCGGCTGCAGGCCGCACAAGGGATAGGCCCAAGGCAAGAGAGATGGGGGGGTGGCTAATGGGAAGAACGGGGTGCCTGGGGCACAAGGGGACCAAGCGGTGCATGATGCTTCGAGGTGGGGAAAGCCAGCTGTCTCTTCCTGTGCCACAGCCTTTGAGGTGTCCTAAGATTGAGTGATTGACTCATCCACATCCTTATTCAAGAAATATTTAAGGAGCATCACTTCCTTCCCACAGACCCACCTGCTGAGATGGTGAGATAAGGTATTTAAATTACATGGTTTTTTTCCTCCCTGAAAACCCTATGTAACAACTCCAGTTAGAAAAACACGTGTCAATGAGTTCAAGTTGTCCCTGCAAGTTGCATCACCTGTTGTTCATTTACTGGAACATTTTATCCGCTTCTAGGAGCGCAGATCCACCTTCAGACAGACCAGAGTTAACATGGGAACAAGGAGGGCTCAGCAGGCCGGCGCGAGCGGACCGAATGAGGGCTGTTGAGCCAGGCGCTGGCCCGTGGCTGGCCCGAGTGCCGCTGCTGGGCTCCCCGGATGCGTGTGGGACACCAGGCGCTCGGGCTGCACACACTTCTAATCGGCCTCCCCAAACCACCAGGAGCCCCGTGGATGCACCCTCACGCCCGGAAGGCCTCCTCAGGAGTTGTACTGTGGAGGCCGAGACAGACTTGAGGGAGTAGGAGGCAACGGAGGTTTAAAAAATATTTTTCCTGGGTCGCCTGGGTGGCTCAGTCAGTTAAGCATCTGACTCTTGAGGTTGGCTCAGGTCACAATCTCACAGTTGGTGGGTTCGAGCCCCGTGTGGGGTTCTACACTGACATGTGGAGTCTGCTTGGGATTCTCTCTCTGTGTCTCCCTCTCTCTCTCTCTCTCTGCCCCTCCCTTGCCCACTCTCTCTCTCAAAATAAGTAAGTAAACAAAATAAAAATTAAAAAACTAAACATATTTTTTCTGTTGGAAAGTGTGTGGCTTTATTTCCTGGAAATAAGCTGGCCGCCAGGGAGGCTGGAAATGTCCCCTCGGAGGGATGCTGGCCTGGCCTGAGGGTCGGAGCCCCCGGGGCGCTCTGCAAGCACCAGTGCCGGTGACACGGAAGCTTAGGGAACAGGGACGTCTGCGGTGGCCTCCCCGGCCATCTGGGCACCGCCTTCCTTCCTCCTTTTCCTCCTGTTTTATTCTGGGGCCCACGTGGGAAGCTCCTGGTTCTACGGGAAGATTCTGCGGAAAGAGAAGATCCTGGTCCCACGAGGGCTCCGTGAAATCAGCGGTCTGCGCACCCCTGCTCGGGGGGCCCGTGCACCCGGGCGATGGACGGACCTTGGGCCGCGTTGTGTGCTCCTGTGACGGTTTCTCTCTCCAGCTCCCTGTCTGTGACCCGGGCCCGATGCTCGGGGGACGGCTGTGCGCGGAAGGAAGTAACGCACTGATAGGGAAAGCGCCCCCAGCTCGTGCACGCGTGATCTGAGGCATGGACGTGAGGGTGCCCTCCGTCGCCAGAACAGCCCAACTCAGGTAAAACAAAGCCCAGAGGGAAATGTCACCACCTACGCCTCACCTTTGGTGTTGGAAAGGGTGAAACAGAATGCGGACTTTCCTGGGGACGACAGGGGATCAACGGGACCCGCGTTTTCGTGTTTTCCCACCGGTCCCCTACTTTTACATCATGAATAAGTTCACATCCCAAATTTCCTCCTGTGGAGAAAATGGTTTCATTTCATTGACATTAGTTGTTGAATAGTAAGTAGACTGCTAACTAGGGCTTAAAACTATTTTTGCTATATTTTCCTTTGATTCTATTAATTTTAATTAAAAAGTATAAATAAACGTGACATAAAGGTTGGATTTGGGAGTTCTTAAGTGATGTAAAAATATCAGTCTTGTACTGACTATGTGCTAAATGCAACCAACTTCAAAATCTAGGGAGGAAAATGTTGCTGTTCATTGGGAAGGCTGACGGTCCCTAGCAAGTAGGGGCATTTGGAAGCAGGTTAGTTTTCTGTCCCCACCAGGAGCTGGGTGGGTGTGACAGCCTCAGCCCTGGGGGCTGGTGCGGCCTCACCCGCACCCACCTGCAGCTCCGCGTTGCTCGGCCGGGGACGGGCGGGCCCCCCAGGCCGCTGGGGGGTGAGAAACCCGGCCTCGGGACTATTGCACGGCAGTGAGCAGTGTAAGGCTGAAAAAGCGAAGAAACTGGGTTTGAAAGGACAGTGTAGACACATCTTAGAAACAGTATTATCGTAACACAGTTTCTGGGTCCCATTTAAGCCGACAGTGAGCACATTCTCTTTTTTCATGAGGTCACTTTACAAGTGGGGGGTCAGTCACACAGATGTAGGCTCAGTCAACAAGTGACGTTTGAGCTCGTAGAAACGGGCACTATTTGGTGGCTGTAGTCAGTGTTTGCTGGATGTCAGTCTTTTTCAAGGGTTCGGTTCGGGAGATGAAGGTGGGAAGACTCTGCCTTCAAGCAGCCTCTGGCCCAGACACGAACGCGAGGCGAACACAGGAGGAGAAGAACGTCCTCCGGCGACAACGGGGTTGCTGGGCAGCAGGGGCCGTGGGGGAGCACCGCCCGCCTCTGGAGTCGGGGACAGCGTCCCCAGGAAGGGACACACCACCACCGGGGACAATCCTCGGAGGTGGCGGCCCAGGCGGCAGGAGGGATTCTATCATGTGCGAACGCGGCTCAAAGCGCGAGGCAGGGAGGAAGTGAGGGTGTTGGAAGCCTCCGTGAGGGGTCGGGGGGCCGCGGGCAGGCGGTGCGGCTGCAGGGGACAGGCCGGGCCGCCACCGAGGAAGGCAGCTCCCCGCGGGGGGGGCTCCGCGGCCGGCCGGGCCGGGGAGTGGAAGCGTCAGCCTCACGCCCACGGACGGACCCTCGCTCGCAGGGTGAAGACGTGGGGCGCCTGGCCAGGTGGGGGCCTGAGAAGGGGAGCGGGTGAGGCAAGCAGGCGGCGTGGCCCCTGCGGACCTGGAGGCCCCGCAGCCACAGGCGCAGGGGGACGCGGGGTGGCGTCTACCGGGCGACCCGCCCGGGACGAGCCGGCCTCAGCCCGGGGCGCGTGTGGCGCCCGTGGCTTGGAGGCCGCGCTCCGCACAGAGGCGCCCGCACCACGGGCCCGGGGCGCTCAGGCGCTCCCCGCAGCTGGCACGGGCGGCGCTGGGTCGTCTTCCCACGGCAGCGGGAGGCAGGGCCTCGTTCCCAGGGCCCGACGCGCTCTGGGGCCTGCCCGTGGGCCCGGCTGTGCGGACGGCCCTGGAGCCCAGGAAGGGGGGGGGGGGCGAGGTCAGGGGGTGCCCACCGAGGTGGCAGGGGCCCGCCCGCCGGAGGGGAAAGGCAAAGGCTGACCCCGGCCGCCAGGGAGCCGGGTGTGGGGTCGCCGGCGTGGGGTGTCAGCAGGACGCACGGGGGCGGGCGACGCTGGGGGTGAGGGCGCTGCCCGTGTGAGGGCGCTGCCCGTGTGAGGGCGCTGCCCGTGTGAGGCTCCGCGCGGCCAGTGAGCTCTCACCCGAGAGCGACGGCGAGTCGCCGCGCGGGGCCCACCGTTTCCGCCGCCGGCCGGCACAGCCGGGTGTCCGCGGACGTCGGGAGGGCCGCGGTGTGGCCTGGGCCAACGAGAGCCCCAAAACCTGACGGTCACTTCGGATCACAGGCCGCGTGCTGCCGAGAGGCCGTTTCCGCCCGCCGCGCCCCAGGCCCGCGCCAGCAGGGGAGTCACTGTTAAAACGCAGAAACGTCCCCAGCACAGCGGGGCCGATGACAGTCCAGTCACCCAGTTACCTCTCCAGCACTAAGACTAACTGAAGAGATCCCGGTTTTCAGTCTATGACTGTACAATTACTGTAAATAAATGTAACCATTGTGGGGGCCCCTGGGGGGCTCAGGTCATGATCTCACAGTGGTGGGTTTGAGCCCCACGTCGGGCTCTGTGCTGGCAGCTCGGAGCCTGGAGCCTGTTTCAGATTCTGGGTCTCCCTCTCTCTCTGCCCGTCCCCCACTCATGCTGTCTCTCCCGCTCTCTCAAAACTAAATAAAACATTAAAAGCTTTTTAAAAAACGTAACCGTTTTAAATATAAATTGAGTATTCATGTTAGATCTAAGTGGAATGTTACTGAAATCTAAATTTTAAATATAGCCGGTATAAATTAGCACTGTCTTCTAAGTGTTACCTTTCCATCCACGGACGAGGTTGGGGTCTCCGCAGTGGGCGCCCCCGACGTGGGAGGCATGGCCCTTCTGTCTTGGAGACTTCTGGAAGGAGTTTTATCTCCATTTTCACATGACATTGCTTTCCTTGACTTGGTTCTTTCTGTCTTCATACCTACTGGCTGCAAATAAATGCAGGGGTACTTTCACAGTAACAACCATATTACCCAGAAGAACTGTAAACACATCATGTTGGCTATCACAGGGGCTGGATCATTATAACTCTGTTCTTACATACTGCACGGGAAGCCTATAGGTGTTCTTTGTTTGTTGTGCCATAGCACATGCTCTTGTGGGATTCCAGAAAGTTATGATTGATCCTATGGAAAAGCCTGGCCATCCCAGCAAAATAAGTAGCTCAAAACTGAATTTAACAATGGATAATAATATTTTCTACCATTTGTGCTATTCAAAAATGGATGGTTTTGAGGCTAAGCCAAGAATGCATTCACTTGTGCATTCCTTCAAAGGAATTATACTGCAAACATGTCACTAATTCAGGTCAGTATGGGGACAGAGGACACGGCTGCATCTCAAAGGGCACCAGAGAGTCACCTGGGACTTCAGATTCTGTCTGCCCACATGATCCAAAAGATGTTTGCCCTGCTCGCAGTGAGAGCCCGGGTCAGCGGACCGTCCCTCCGGGGGTGCGATGCCGTCTGCTCGACACTCACGTTGGAAAAGAGTGTCAGGACGTGAGGTCGTCTTGAGTTGGGGGCCTTCTCGGGAGCCACTCTGAACTCACTAGTCGATAAAACTCCGTGTGAGGTTAAGGCAGGTTTGCAAGGCCTCCTGCCGTCAGATGACGACCAATATCCACCCCCACTCAATTGTTTCTGCTTGTGCACCGACCCCCAAGGCACCTTGTTAATTGGTATCAGAAGCGACTTTTCCCCTTATTCTGGCACTAATATGCTGATTGCACCTTGTGAAGGAACTTACTGTAGGAACTTCTTCCTTTGTGATCACGGGAGCAAACATTGCGCTTCCTGAAAAACCTGTTTTTCTTCATACTTCCCCTTAAGCAAACAAGCTATTGACCCCTGCTCACAAAGAACTAACTTTTGCCTTTGCTTTGCTAAAAACATTGCCTTGTTTGTATTTGAATATTAAAGATACCTTCCTTCCCCGTAGGATAAGCATCTAAATCACCTACATCAATCACTATTGATAAAGGTTATGCACAAGTCTTCTACAAATCTATGTTCTGGGAAATTTTTACATATCAAGGAAATTTGTCATCAAAAATCATTGTCTAAGGCAAATGCCACTTCTGTGCCGTTCCCCACACACTTAACCATAAATAAAGCCAAGTCTCAGTCAGTGCAGAGATGCTGCCTGGTGACCAGAAAGAATCTCGGGGCCTCTCTCATCCCTCCCTCGCCAGCACTGTCCATCCTTCAGGGACCCCTGGACCGGCTGGTCCAGCATGGGGGACTTCTCGGTCCAAATTAACCTGTTCCCCAAGGCCAGCTGAGGACACAGAGGGGCTCCCAAGCGTGAGGAAGGCACAGAGCTGGGCTGGTCACCAACACTCTGGCTGCCTAAACATTCTGAGGAGGGGCTCCCCCAAACAAGGAAATGCACTGGAGATCCAAGAACACCCCGTCCCAAGGCCCCAGAACAAAGCCAGGTGGAAAGCAGTGTGACAGCCACAGCAGTGACCCCAAGAAACACCATGGCTTGAAAGCCAAAGGACATGACAGATGTAGCTGTGTAAAGTCCCTGCCTTGGGCTGCTGGAGTGGAAGGAAAGCACACAGCCCTGGATGCCAGCCCTCGCCTGTGCCCAGCTCCCAGCCAGGCTTAGGAGGCCACCTGCTGGGCTGGATCCCTCAGTGTGCAAGGACTGGATCCCTGAGTCTGTAGGGACTGGATTCCTGAGTCTGTAGAGACTCAGATCCCTCAGTGTGCAAGGACTGGATCCCTGAGTTTGTAAAGACTGGATCCCTGAGTTTGCAAGGACTGGATCCCTCAGTGTGCAAGGACTGGATCCCTGAGTTTGTAGGAATGGATCTCTGAGTTTGCAAGGACTGGATCCCTGCATTCACAAGGAGAGGACCCTCAAGTTAGTAAGGACTCTGCTCATTCAGGGAGCCAAGATTTCCCAGTGAGATGCTGGTGGGATACAGGAGTTTGGTGCTGGACCTCTGCTTCCTTCTGAAGGTCATAAACACGAGGGTCACCTGGGAAGAAGGGCCGTGTGTAGAGGACTGTCCTTGTCCTGTGGCAGTGGAGCTGTGACTTCTGCGGCCTGCGGGCGTCAGCATTATTTCTTCATCAGCTGACAGAGGTAACATTTTCCCAAAAGCACATTGTGACACCTAAAAGGCAATTTATCACAAAGAAGATTTGGGGGAAATGTTCACATCTTGGAAGTTACAGTAACTTGAAAATAAATTCAAATGTAACCGTCAACAGCAAGTGCGGTGTGGCGGGAAGCAGTGAGGCCGCAAGGTGGGGCCCAGGCCGGTTTCACCCCACAGCCTCGCAGATCCTCACAGAAGACGGCCCATCGCAAACAGGGGTCGACTCTCAAGGCCATTCACTGTTTCAAAATACACCAGCTTCCCAAAGGCACCAAAATAAACACCCACATTTATGTCCTTGGATTATGTGTCTTCAACTGAACAGTATTAACGAAAGAAGAAAGCGTGATCCTATTGTTAGTGTTGTCGCTCACAATTTACAAAGATTTACACGCAAGCTCTCAAGCTTCCTGCTCTCAAGCAAACTCTGGAAACAGCGCCGCCCTTCTGGTGGGACGCGGTAACGCAAGGTACCCACCGCTCGGCCCTCTGACCGGACGCAGCCAGGAGGGGCTGGACAGCCTTCCGTCCCGTTTCCAGAGCCGCTGACCCCCGGCCACCCACTTCCACTTCAGTCCCGTGCTCACTGTCAGTGTCACTGACGGTTTGACGCGCTGTCCCCATAAGTGTGCCTCGAACAGGTGCCTGCAGGGACCCAAAGTGAGGGGCCCACGTCCGTCCTGCTTTCTTTAAGTCAGGAGTGTGCTTTGCAGAGAGGGCGCCGTCCTTACCCATCACCTCAGCACCCTGGGAGCAGCACTGCACACGTGTGTGCATATGTGTGTGTGCGTGTGTGCGTGCATGTGTGTGCGTGTTACTGTGTCAGAGCTGAAATATCCCAGCTCTGTGAACCATAAACCTAAACGTCCACACAGCAAGTACACCCAGGCCCTGGGGTCCAGCAGCCCCACGACACGGAAGGGCTTAGCCCCGGGACCCACCTCCCAAGCTCACCGCAGGCTCCGGCCGTCGCGGTCCCCGGGACGTGCAGGCTGCTGCCCCACCAGCTGTCACCGATGCGTCTGCGGAGCAGGCAGGCGCGGGCTCCCGGGTGTGCCCGTCGCCACTCACGGAAGTGGATTAGCAGACAGCGAGCCTCTGCCTCCCGGAGGGCGAGCGTGACCACCAACGCCAGCGGCCACCTTTCCTGCGACACCACTTCTAAGTAAAGCAAAGAAGCCGCCTGGCACCGGAGTGTCCGACCTCCTTCCTGCGCAGACGGCCCCTCGGACGCCCCCCCGGCCGGCGATGCCCGCAGCCCCGACGCCCTCAGGCCGCCCCGAAGCTCCAGGCTGTGCCGCGTGAGAGCGTCTCTCTGGCTCTGGAGCTGGCGGTGAGCGGCGGGCCGCCGGGACTCCTCGGGAGGCCGGACCGCCTGTGCCATCGGGGGAGAGGCCGGGAAGGGAAGGGCACTCGGGCTTCGCCGCGGGTGTTGACGCAGAGCCTCTCCTGCAGAGCCTCTCCTACAGAGCCCCCAGCCCTTCCCGCCAGAGCCTGGACCTTTCTAGGAGAGGGGTCAGGGCATCCGGCAGCTCGGGGATACATACCACTAGGACACTTTGTCCATTCTTAAGTACCGTCCGTTGTGAGAGACTCCGCAAAACACAACCACGTAAAGACGGTTAGTGAATTGTTGTTGTTTGTTTGCCAAAGGAGGCCGAGAACTCTTTCATTTCTTCCTTAATCTACTCTGAGGGGAGCAGCAGGCAAGAGTTAAGAGCGTGCGTTTTGGGGGCGCCTGGGGGGCTCAGTCGGTTCAGCGTCCGACTTCAGCTCAGGTCATGATCTCACGGTTCGTGGGTTCGAGCCCCGCGTCGGGCTCTGTGCTGACAGCTCAGAGCCTGGAGCTGCTTCGGGTTCTGTGTCTCCCTCTCTTTCTGCCCCTCCCCAGCTCACGTTCTCTGTGTGTGTGTCTCTCTATCTCAAATAAATAAACATAATTTAAAAAATTTTTTAAAAAGAGCATGTGTTTTGAAATTATTCAGAACAAGGTTATAACCCTGGCTTCACCACGTCCTTGCTGTGTGACCTCAGACAAGGCACCTCACCTCTCTGGGCCTCAGTTTCCTCTTCTCCAAAATGATGGCAGAATGGCCTCAGACGGTTATTCTGAGAGCTGAGGCCGTGGCTGAATTGGAGCCCCCGGGGCAGAGAATGGAAAATGCAGGGTAAACACGGGCTGTCACTTCTGTACTGGGTTCAGTCCGTCCATTGTGACGTCACACAGCTCTCTGCGCCGGCTTCCAAAACAGACTTACCAACGACAGAGGTGCTGGCTGTTGGGGGGTCACAAAGGAAATCTTTGTATATAAGAATCCACGTGTGTGCAGGAGGGAAGGTGTCAGTCTGCCTATGTTACAGACACAATTGAGCAGAGAACCTTAGAATAGAGAAAATGAGCTAATAAAACTAAAAAAAAAAAAAAAGGCATTTTCCTCTCCTAGAGATTATCTCTGAAAAGTAATCAGAATCACATTACAAATTTATGATTAAAAGGGAAAATAACACTGAGGAGAAATTAGTGATTGCATTATTGTCTCTGTATTCTAGAAACAGGAAGTAATTGCATTTCCATTTTAAATTAAATTATTCCCTTGGAATTATCTGAATAATGCCAAGTGTGTGAAGACCCTCACGGCAGGGCTCCAGGCGGAGGGGCAGGGCTGGAGGGGGCCAGGGGCCTGGGAATCGTGTGGGTCACCAGAGCCCCGGTCGCCTTCCCACAGGGAATCGTCACTCAGAATTTCGGTGGAGACGCAGGGGAGAGGCCAGCGGGAGGAGGGCGGTGAGCCGTCTCCACCACAACATAAGGGAAAGAAGGTGCCGTGCCCAGGCCACGCGGCCGAGGCTCCCCGTCATTGGGCGCCCAGACACCCGGAGAGCAGGGCCTAGGGGCCAGGAGATGCCCCCCCACCCATGCCATCAAGGTGAAAGCGTCTACTCGTGCACATCACCCCTGCCCCCTGCCGGCCCAGCACCGCTCTGTGACCCATGCTCGCAGCCACTTCACAAAGATGTCTTGTGAAACCTGAAACTAGCAAGGAAGTGGTCGTCTCCACCCCAGCAGTCACAGGCCGGTCACCAGCCCGAGGTCACAGACTAACAAGCGGGGACTCTAAATTCAGAGGAGAGGTCAAGTGCAGAGAGGGCATGCACCACTTCCTAACGCGGTCCATGAGTTGCATGTGTTGTGTTCATCGGCCCCTGTGTGCCATCAACACGACATGTCCCCGAGAACAGGGACGGACCTGCTGTCGGTGACACCCCCGGGAGACTACGACAGCGTTAGCGAACCTGGGAAGACGGACGGCTGCCCTGGGTGAGGGGTGGGGGAACAAGAGACGGGGCATCACAGAAGGTGCCGGAAGCCCACCGCTGGTGAGGCGCCGGGGAATGACGTGACCCTCGGGGCCAGCTCTGCCCGTTGGGACGGCTGGGACGGCTGTGCCCACTGAGGTCACGGGACCCTGCCAACCCCACCGTGTGAGGGCAGATTTAAGTCTCAAGAACTTCCTCATGTCCATTTAGCCAAGTGCTTACAGCCCCGTGCCTTCTCGGGGGTCAGGGCACTTCGCCGAGATGCTACGTCCCCTTAAACTCCGCATCCTGCGTCTCATCTCGCGTGACACCAAGCTGCAGGCGGAGAACGTGTGCCCCTCCCAGAGGGGACACACATGTCAACCCCCAGCTTAAAGCGTCACCAGGAAAGTCCTGCAAGAGGAGGAAGACGGGGAAATCCGAACGCCGGTGTCAGGGGCAGGATGGGGACACAGGCGGGGACACAGGCGGCTGAGGCCAGGGAAGGGCCCAGCACGGCCGGCCGCTCACCAGCACGTCCACCCCGGAGAGCCCGGCCCTGTCCTCGGGGTCGGCCTCCTGGGCAGTCGACCTCCCGCTGGGGGAGAAGGGGGCCGTCAGGAGCCCCCGCCCTGCACCGTGAGGGGAGCCCGGGAGGCACCCGTCTGCTACAGCCCTCCATCCCCAGTTACAGAACTGCCCCCGGGAAGGGCCCTCTCAGGGTCGGGACCCACGGTCAGAGCCCAACGGGCCACGCATGGCCTCTCGTCGGCAGATAGAAACCACTTCAGTTCTAGAAAAGGGTCCAGCAGTGGCTGAGTCACTGGGAAACCCAGATGAGGGCCCCCCCAGATAACTTCAAAAGGTCAAAGCCTTTCTGGCTCACGGACAACTTGGGGGGGGTCGGGGGACTTACAAAGACACCGCAGATTATAACAAGACGTCACCGTGCGTGCTCGGAAACGTGCTCGGTGACAGTCCTCGAGCTGCACCACCACGGGGACCAACAGCGTAACCACGGCGACAGGGGCACATGGGCTGAAAGCCGTGTCTCCCGATGAAGCACAATCACAGGGACCAACAGCAAAGACCGAAGACCCCCCGACGTCCCGCCGTTGCGTCCCCGGGTCGGCTTGACTGAGGTCTCGCCAGGAGCCGGCCGGGCCCCGCGGGCCTCCTGCGGCCCTGAAGGGGGCGCGTGTTCCCACTTCTCTGGAAGGGGAAACCCGCCTGGTCCTCAACCCCAAACCCTGAGCCCCTCAGTCTGAGGAAGACCCCCTCAGCCGCCCCAACCGGAAGGACTCTGGCACCTGGCCAGTGCACGGTGCCCCTGAGTTGTGATCCTGTCCCCCCATCAGAGCACCAGGAAACCTCGAACGAACTGGTTCTGAACAGACCTGCTCTCTTAAAGGGGTCCTGCACACCCCCCAACACACTTCATAAGCCGAGGTCGTATTCCGTATTTATAGATCTGTGGTCTGAATAAGGGAAGACCTTGGCCGGTGGAAATTATCTACCTGCATAGGGAATTGGAAATGGTAAAGTTCCCCCCGCAACTGACCAGAGAAAGTGTATTTATTTTTTTAATGTTTCTTTACTTTGTGAGAGAGAGAGAGGCTGGGAGGGGTAGAGAGAGAGATTCCCAAACAGACTCCATGCTCAGCACAGAGCCCAACACGGGGCTCGATCCCATGAACCGTGAGATCATGACCTGAGACGAAATCAAGAGTCAGACACTTAATCGACTGAGCCCCCCAGGCCCCTCCAAAAAAGTGTATTTAATATCAAGTTTTCTGTAGACAATGTACAGTAAGAACTCACTTCTCTCAGCACATGTGCTGGAAGAAATATCAACTGTCTTCTGATGTCAAAACAGAGAATTTGCTGGAAGAGATATTCGTGAGAAGATAGGATGTGCAAGCTTCCGTAGGAGAAATGATTCAAAACGTCATCGCTTCACAAACTGCCCCTGCAGGTAAATTGCCTGCATGATTCTGCGCCGATGCGATGACGAGGAAGCGTCCACCGTCCTAGCTCAGCGACGGGCCGTGTCCGCAGCGGTCGCACATTTCCCGTGCGCCGACGCCTGCTTGGGCACAGACCTGCCCGGGACCCCCGGCGCCCGCCGCGCTGCCTCGGGCCCGCGCTGCTGCTGCCCAGCCCTTGTTCTCCTGGGACCCGCCTTTGTCGGCCGGGGCGGCCAGGTGCCCGGGGCCCTGCTCAGCATGCACGCCGTCCGTGGAGCAGCCCGCGATCGCTGGGACCCTGGCCGGGCGAAGCGTCCCCTGCAAAGCTCAGCCACGTGAAGCCGGCCGTGCAGAGGAGCGCCTGGGGGCCCGAGAGGCCCGCGCCCGGCAGTGCTGGATGCAGCCACAGCTCTGTGTGCACCGGGCGCCAGGAGCTCCCGCGCTGGAAGAGCCCAGAGCTCGGCGGTGCTCCGTCCACACTGACTCCCTCCCTCCGCGTCCTTCTCGGACACAGAGGCCTCTGGAACCCTCAAGGTGTCCGATTCGGTGTCGAGAGTCTGAATCCGCTGGGACCGTGGCCAGGTGCGTAGCTCAGCCAGCGACGGGCACACTAGAGGCGGTAAGCGTCCTCTCTGGAATGAATGGGGCACATCCTTGTAGGCGGTTCCAAGTTTCGCAAACACGAGGCGGCGGGAGGCCCCTTCCCCCTCGAAACCTGACTTGGTGACGCCCTCGAGGCCACGCTATCCTCAAAACATTTCCCCAGTTCAGAGGCAGCATCATCCCTGACAGCTTTCATTATTTTCTGATCTTAGCTGGAGGAAGTGTGGTTTTGAAATAAGAACTGTTGGGGCGCCCGGGTGGCTCAGGCGGACGTCCGACTTCGGCTCAGGTCATGATCTCACGTTTGGTGGGTTCGAGCCCCGCGTCGGGCTCTGTGCTGACAGGTTGGAGCCTGGAGCTGCTTCAGATTCTGTGTCTCCCTCTCTCTCTGCCCCTCCCCTGCTCACGCTCTGTCTCCCCCCCTCTCTCAAAAATAATAAGTAAACATTAAAAAAAAAAGAAGAGCTGTTGGTACCTGAATGATGACCATATCTAGTTCCCCGCCAGCGTTAACAGTGGGAGATCCTATATGTGCATGTTCTTTAATAAAATAATAAACTGAAGACACGAAATGATCCCGCCCTGTGCCCACGCTCGTGGGCATCTTCCTCAGCAAGCGCAGGGTGCGTTCGAGATTCCGGTCGGGCCCGGGGGTTACACACGTGGGCGCTGCTGGACGCAGGGACCCATCCGTGGAAAAGAGCACCGAGTCCTGACAGCATGACCACACGACTTTCTATTTTCTAGGCCGAACGTGACGAATCTCACTTGGGCACTGTCCAGCTCCTTCCCTCCCCGGGGAGAGTGGACGGCCTTCTTCTTGGGCCACGTCAGAGTCTCCTTCCAGCTCCCGACGTTTCTCAGTCAAGTATCATTTTAGTCTTTTGTTGACACAAACTGAACAAGCCTGTTAGAATTTCCCGAAGAGGGGAGGGAGTTTTATTTGAGTGCAAGTGAGGGCCGCAGCCACCTTCACACGGAAAAGCGTGGTCCAGAGAGGGGGCACACAGTGGAGACCTGGGTGTGCTCTGTCCACGTCAGGGGCTACAAATGGTCCTGATGAAGGACATTCCAGAACATTACAACCTTGTCTTACGCTTTTCGTACGTGCAAGGCTACATGGCTCTGATCTCCCAGGGACTTAAATAGATTTTACTCTTTGTGCGTGAAATGTATTTTTAAGGCTGTAGGTCAACTAAACAGATGAACAGAGTGTGCTCTGGGCAGATGCGCAGCCCAAGGTTCAAAGTGTGGTCGAGTCATTCTAACCCCGGTGCAAGTGTGCAGGGTCCATCATCCTTAAAGCTGAGAATCTTCTTTATTCTATCAGTTTCTTCTATCAAAAAATACTACCAATAAAAGCCAGTATGAGGGTTTATGGTTAAAAAAAAAAAAAGCTACAGAATCTAGATTAACTAGAGATAAATGTACCACGTGCCCTTCACGCCTGGACCTGAGGGTGTGGGGCTTGCCCCAAGTCCCTGGGCTTCGTAGGGTGAGCTCTGCGTCCCGGGGTGAAAGTCGCAACAACCCCAGCTCTGACTTCTTACTGGTTTTCCGAGCACACTTCTGAAGTGAAAACAGTGCAGACTAACAGAGAAGTGAGTTGTGCCAATAAATATACGGGGTCGTGTTGGGAGGGTGAGGCTCCCAGGGGAAGCCCGGGCAGCTCTCGTCAGACCAGGCGCTGCTTTACCTCAGACCAACAGCCACCTGCCCTGTGGCCCCCGCCCAGGACATGTCCTGCCACACTCAGGGCCATCTGTGGGCTCTGCCCCGGCGCCTGTGGTGTGGACAGGTGACAGGCCAGGCTCCATGTCATAACACAAAGCTGCCTTTCCCAGCCGTCCCCGGAAAGCACAGGGCACGGCGTGCTGACCAAGCATTCGACGGCACAGAGTCTCAGTCTCATGGCCATCTCGGCATGATGTCGCGCGAGCACACACACACACATATGCACGCACACACACACGCATGCACACACATGCACATGCACACACACGCACATGCATGCACACACATGCGCGTGCACACATGCACACACACACATGCACACACGTGGGCACACACACACACATTACCAGTTCCCAAAACTGAAATGCAATGGGAAAACACCCCAAAGCGATGCTATAAATAAACTGCTACTTCCTACACCACCTTATGATTTTGCACATCTTTGAATCTGTTTCTGTAAATATTACCCTGACCAATGAGAGACCAAGTTTTCAGACACTGGCTCCGGACTTCAGGCTGGCCTCGCGGGTACTGGCTGAAGCTTGGGGAAGGGGTTTCTCTCTGCTTCTGTGTATTTTGCGTTTCCATAGATAAATTGTAAAACACAACAGGCTGATTCTTACAGTCAAACCACCAAGACTGCGTTGTAAGTTCTTTGAGGCACTTTAGTCTGAAAAAGCCCAAAGAGTACAAAACGTAACACGTGGACTTTTGTTGAAAGTCTATTTTGTCCACTGTGAGTGTGGCTCCCCGGCTGTGTTCTGGCGCGTGTGACCAATGTCCCTTCACCTTCCCCACTTTCAGTCTGCAGGTGTCTTTCGGTCTGAAGTGAGTCTCTTGAGCTGATGGGGGGGTCTTGGGTTTTCCTCCACTGTCACCCTATGTCTTTTGATTGGAGCATTCTCCATTTACATTCAAGGTAATTCTTGATAATATGTATTTATTACCTTCACTCACCGCCAGGGAAATGCAAATCAAAACCACAATGAGATACCACCACACACCTGTCAGAATGGCTAAAATCAACAACATAAACAACAGGTGTGGTGAACACGTGGAGGAAAAGGAATGCCCGTGCACGGCTGGTGGGAATGCAAACTGGTGCAGCCGCTCTGGAAAACAGTAAGGAGGCGCCTCAAAAAGTGAAAAGCAGCTACTCTACGATCCAGCAATTTAATTACTCGGTATTTACAAAAAGCATACACAAACACTAATTCAAAAGGATACATGAACCCCTATGTGTATAGCAGCATTATTTACAATAGCGAAGATATGGAAGAGCCCACATGTTCACTGACTGACAAATGGATAAAGATGTGGGGTGTATACACGATGGAATATTACTCAGCCATAAAAAAGAATGAAATCTTGCCGTTTGCAATAACGTGGATGGAACTGGAGGGTATTATGCTAAGTGAAACAAGTTGGTCAGAGAAAGACAAATACCATACGATTTCACTCATATGTGGAATTTAAGAAACAAAACAAATGATCAAAGGGGAAGAAAGAGAGAGAGAAACCAAGAATCAGGCCCTTAACTCTAGAGAACACAGTGCTGGTTACCAGAGGGGAGGTGGAGGCAGGGTGAGGGAAACGGGATGGGGATTAAGGAGTGCACAGGTTGTGATGAAATAAAATGAAATAAAATAAAATAAAATAAAATAAAATAAGATAAAATAAAATAAGATTAAAATAAAATAAAATAATAAAACAAAATAATAAAATAAGGGGCGCCTGGGTGGCTTAGTCGGTTAAGCATCCGACTTTCGCTTAGGTCATGATCTCACGGTTCGTGGGTTCGAGCCCCGCGTCGGGCTCTGTGCTGACTGCCAGCTCGGAGCCTGGAGCCTATTTCAGAGTCTGTGTCTCCCTCTCTCTCTGACTCTTCCCTGCTCACACTGTCTCTCTCTCTCTCTCCTAGAAATAAATAAAAGTATTAAAAATAATAATAATAATAAAATAAAACGAGTATGGATTTTTAAAAAATAAAGGACAATGCTCTTTTTCTTAAAGCAACGTTTATTAAAACTGTTCCAAATCCAAGTACCCTCTGACCTCCTGGTCTGACCCCAGCCAAAGGGCATCTCTTACATCAAACTTCACCTACTGAAAGTTCATGGAACATTCTAGAGGCTTCCTTTTCCAGCTCAGAAGGGTTTTCTCGGCCTCCCATTAGGACCTGAGTCAGTCGTGAGGCCCCAGGTCGGTGGCAGGTTGGTACTAAAGGGCTTTCCATGAGGGTCCCATGTCCATTCCAGGCCTGCTTGGTGTCATTTATGGGGGTGCCACTCCTGCCCCTCTGCTGCCTGTCAGCCTCCACCCCCCAGGGGGCACCCAGGCCCCCTCCCGACCTCTCCTCCGCACTGCCACGGTCAGCCCGGCCCACCTCTGGGGAAGCCAGCCTCTTTGGCCAGGAACCCCCAGACCTGGGGCCAGGAGACCACGGCCCTGCCCAGGGCTGCCTTGTTCCCCTCCCGTGGCTCTTTCTGACAGCCAGGGGTACTTACGCCTAGGTGCACGTGTGCTGGGTCAGACAACAGGCGGCCGTCACATGTTCATGAAGTTTCTCGTGCCCTGTTCCCTGAGTCTCCCCCAAACACACTGAGGTGCTGCGGGGATGTTGGGTGCTCCATGAAGAGTAAGATGTTGGGTGCTCCCTCAAGGGTTCTTCCTGTGGCGGTGCTTGTTTGGGGGTGAGGGGGCTGAGCTCTCCACCCTGTGCACCACGAGGAGGGTCCTGACCCACCAGAGACCCAGCACCATCCTCTGGCGTGTCCGGGGGGGGGGGGGCATCACCTCAGCCAGTGAAGTGTGAACCACATTGAGGTTTGTCTGTGCTTTAAGGGTCTTTGGGGCTCTTCCCCATCGTCTGCACCTGCTGGGGCGGGGGGCTGTGTCTCAGTCTCCTCTGCCCAGGATTCTGCGCACATCCTGAGGCTGCATGCGCTCAGACCACCCATCCGTCTGCGGGGGCACGGGCACCTGGGACCCCTCCACATGGTGGGACCCCAGGCTTCGCCGATTCTCTCCCCAGCTGCAGCCGTGTCTTCCTCGGGGTGGGGTGGGGGTCTCAGCTGCTCTTTCGGGGGGGGGGGGCCCGGCCACTGCCTTCCCTGAACCGCCCTGGATTCTCGTCCTGGGGCAAACGCAGCCGAGGCCGCTGGTGGAGGCCAACCCTCCTGGGTGTCAGGGCCCCGGGCCTCCTCACCGCGGAGGGGAGGCCTGGCGTGTGAATTGCCAAAGTGAAATCCAGACTGGGATCCCCACACCTCAGGTTACTTACACACCCTGAGGTAACCGGGCCATGACGCGGGGCTGACTGTCTGCGCCACACTGGCCGCGCGTCACCGGGGAGGCCGGGCTCCAGCTCTGTGCGGCGTCGCTCTCACCCGTCGTTCCCACACAGCCGGGGGCCCCGGGGAGATCCTCGCGGCTCTGCTGACCTCCTGGGACCACCACGGGCATCGTGCGACTCTCTGGTTTGTGCGGGTGACCGCGTGAGGCCAGGACTGAGTGGGGGTTTGGGAGCAGGTGGCCCCACACTGAGACGGAGGCTGCTCTCTTTTCAGTCGGATCCTGTGCACACAGCTGCCTGTGGGTTTCTGCCACCTCTAAACCACGGCGACGCATTCCTATTTTCGCTTCACTGTTTATTGGTTTTGAGATCAACTAGCCTTTCAACAAACAAGTCAGTCCTTCACGCCCAAAAAGGCCCACAGTCACCAGGAGTGTTACCTCCCGGTTCCAAGTCCCACAGCCCACAGGGCAGTGAGGGGTCCGATGTGGAGCAGGCGTGCTGCAGAGGCGCAGAGTTCATCATGGAGAGGGACAGGGGACGGGGACGGGGATGGGGACGGGGGACGGGG